TGTGTGTGTGTGTGTGTGTGTGTGTGTGTGTGTGTGTGTGTGTGTGTGTGTGTGTGTGTGTGTGTGTGTGTGTGTGTGTACGTACGCGTATAACGCAACGAGAACCGCCTCCTCGGAGCGAGCCTCACGCTGGCGAGGATGAGCCGCGGCAAGGGTGAGGGGAGATCGAAAAAAATGGCTAACGCGGAAATCTGCGGCCGCCAAGGCTGATCATGGGCCGCGCAGTGGGGCGAAACAGCACAATGAGCTGTTCGCAATGATGATGATGATGATCCCGATACGTGTAGGGTATATAAAGGGGTCGATTTCCCGTGCTGCTGCTGCTGCAGAGTACCGATCTGTATTGTCTGCCGCGTGTTCGCTAACGGGAAAGCTGATAAAACGTTTAACATGTTCAGGCTGGCAAGTATATCCGTCGTGCACCGCGTTCGAGGATTCGCGCGCTCGTGTGTACGCGGTGTGTGTGCGTGTTTATGTATGTGTGCGTGCGTGCTGCGTGCGTGTCCGCCTGCGTCCGTTTTAGTTCCGGTCGACAGACACTTTCGCGACGTTAATCCTTAAGCACTGACAGCATGGCGGCCGTCCCGCGCGTCAAGTCCTCGCGGAATTTACGACGGTGTGCTAGCGCGAATGTCGTCGTGGGATAAATCGAATTTTATTAACGGGACGTAATTAAAATGTTTACCTGGTGCTGACATTTTCGGCGAAGTTTACGTTTCCCATTCATTCATCTTGTGTCAAACAGATTCAATAGTAAAAAAAACAGTAAAACAGTTAAACATGGGATGGCCAATTATGTATATTTGCTGTAACCAACTAGAGAGTCATTGCTGAATGTTGCAGCAGTAATCCGATATCCGGTTGCTCCTCACCAAGGTAGCGATCGTATCATTTTTTAAGAGCGAAAACGTGAAAAGTGAAGAGTTTCACGTAAACTCGACTTCAGCAATCGTGTAGCTTCTCGATTAATGAAGACGTTAAGATTTTCACGTGAAACTTTTTCACTTTCGCGCAAGTTCACGCTTGGGTAGAGGATACACGATCGATACCCAGAGTATATTTATGGTGAAATGTCACTCCAATCGATTTCTGTCTTTGTTTTCCATGCAGGATAAACCTCCCTTGTACACATACGATATAATTACGCTGTCATGCGCACCCTGCGCCAATACTAACGTTACGAGGGTATGCGCCGATTTTGTTCCCATTTCTTTTGCTTTAATAAACACGTTTGCACGGACGGTGCGTTCTCGCTCGGCACATCCGCCGAATTCGCTCGCTCGCTGTCGCGTGGACCGCAATGGAACACTTGGACTCGGCCGGACAAAAGTGTTCGATCAATCAGCACTGTGTAATCCTTTTTCGGTACGGTTACACCCGGCGGGAGCAAAAGTTGCTGCGGAACGACGGCGAAAACGCTGCCATCCATTAATCTCGGTGTGTTAAAAGGAAGAGCCTCGTGTTGAATGAACAAGATCACGGGAGAAGCCTAAGGAAGTCGCAAAGATGAGTGGGATTTGTTAATAGAAATAAAGCCGCACAATCCGTCCCGTCTGGGGCAGCAATTTGGAGGCGCGAATGTCTTCTCAAAAACGGAAGAGGCAGGCGAGCTTGGCCGTAGAGTAGAAGAGAAGAAACGACTGCGCGCAGACTGTAACGAAATTAATGGACGGCAGCAGTTCAGATAACGTCGAAGCCGAAGCGCCGCGGCAAATGTCGGCCACCGGGACTTTCGCGACGCGCGGGTAATTGAATCGCCATAAAAACACACGGCACTACGGTTATCGTCCACGATAACGTGATTCGGCAGGGCGAGCGCGCCCGAAGGGACGGGGCGCGGCTGGCGAGTAAAAAGGATCGACGCTCGTTCTTGGCACGTGCGACCGCCTCGGGGTGATTAATTAGAGCGAGGTGATATCGAGCTGGCCGGCCGGCAAAAAGCGGCCCGATCAGTCGATTCGCGCCGGCGACGGTGGCGCGGTTAAATGTCTCCCCTGGACTCTCCCTCTCTCGTATCGCTTCTCATGGCTTTTCCATGCAAGAAGCACGAACCGTGGGAAAAGAGGGAGGCGGAAGCCTCCGATACTACGAGCCGTGGCAGCCGTGCGCGCGATTTCGCGGCGTGAATTCGCCGATCCTCGTGAGCGTAATCGACCCTGCATTTCTGTCGCAGATCATCCTGATTGCTGCCGCAGTGGTCGCGGCCACGTGCGCGCCGACACCGGCACCGTTGCCAGGACCGATCCCAGGACCGATCCCAGGACCTGGACCGCTACCCGGACCAGGGCCGTTGCCGGCGCCGCTGCCAGGACCGGGACCGGTGCCGGGACCGGGGCCTCTCGGGCCACCATTGTTGGGGCCTTATCCGCTGGTCTACCCGCCGGGCTTCCTGAAGGCCTACCCGTACTACTCGGCGATCCCCTTGGCGTATTACCACGGCTACAAGTGGATTCATCCGGGCCCGCTCTACGTCTACTGAGACGATCCCGGATCTCCCGGGACCACTCAGCAGACCGCCGGCAACGACACACACGATTTGCTCCGTCTCCGCTTAGTGCGGGGCTCGCCGCAACGCGCTAAATGATTCTGTACCGTGGAACGTCTCCCAAATAAAATATGCTCTTGTCGCAGACACCGCAGTGTGCTCGAATCACGACGAAGACGACGACGACGATTTTCTCTCCCTCTGTCTCTCTCTCTCATCCTCTTCTCGCCTCATCGTCGTCGGCGCCTCCAGCGTTCGCTAATTTCGCCCCGCGAGAGAGAGAGAGAGAGAGAGAGAGAGAAGATCCCTCATCGGGGAGTTTGGCAAACTCCGCGTTATCGAGCGAGCCATCAATTCCGTACGTTTGTGTTACGCTGGAATTTATGAAACAATACGCATTATACCGCATAATCGAGCGGTTCGCGGCCAGTAATTCCGCTCCTACCTATTATCTGTCAGCGATCCATTTTCTGCGTGACACGTTGAATTTTAGTTTCATATTGCTCCTTTTCTCTTCTCTGCGCTCCGTCGCGATAAATAATTAAGGATAATGCGCGGCGCGCCAGTGCGTGACAGTTTCGCGAGAATAAATTGAATATTTCTTGCGGGACTCACCGCAGTAATACCGCGCGACGGAGCCTTCTTATTTTTATCACGAGTGGCTGCCGCGTAAAATTTTCAAGGCGCGATAATTCCATTGCACGGCCGACGAGAATTCGCCTCGTTGTTCCATTTACTCGAGAGCCGCGATTAGCTCGTTTAACCTTACACGCGATAAGTGATTTCGGGGCATTCAGTCTCGGGCCGATGATGAGTTAAGGGCGAAACTTCGTGTCCAAGTTGATACGAATCTGCAGGAAGCCGTGAAAATTCACCTTATCCACCGTGTAAGGTATATGCGCAGGGGGCGAGTTAGCATACTAATGCGCCACCATATAGGACACGCTTGCCTGATAAAGGATATCACGGCGACAAAGCACAACCGTATCAGACGACTCCATTACTATTATCCCTTCAAGTTTATTTTAGGGAGGAGAAACCAACGTGATAACGTATTTCACGCGATATGATCGCGCGATGTAACGGTTGCCACTTTACACGCTCCCCGCCGGTGAGTGCATCTGCATTTTATCGCGGAAAATGCAGTTTATTTGGATATATTTTTGCATAACCCGAACACACCGTGCGCCGGATAAGCACAAACAATTCCTCTTACATTTTCCTTCGGAAAATAGGAACGTTAAGATTTCCCGTGTCGAAATTTCAATCCTACTATTTTCACTCAAAGTAATAAACGCTGCCGCTCGAAATTATAAGAGTGGACGTTTCACTCAAGATTAGAGTAAATTCTGACGCCACATGAGCGAATGTTTCAATTGATTAAGTGAATATGTTCCTGTGACGACCAAGTACATACATCAGATTCGCTTTTCAATTTCGAGAAAATACTCATTCGACGATCCATAGTGAAGATTTCGCTCTGCATGAGCGGATAATCATTCGAATTTGAGCGCGTTGTTGGTCGCTCCGTTCTTCTCGAATGAAGCTTCACTCTGAGAAATTTAGAGAGTATTCAAATATTCTCCACACGTTACCAAAGTGTCATGATTTTTTAATTTTTCAACTCGGGCTCTTTCTCATCAGCGCGAGTCGCATTTATAACAGGCGCATGCAATATGTGCAGAACGAGCGAGACGCATCGACGCGGCGTGCAGTCGCGAAGATTTATTGTCCGATGGGGAGATAAAGGCGAGTTTCGACGCAGTCAAATCGCACGACTCCGCGTTACCACTCTCGCCGTTAATTCAGCGGAGCGGATCTCGCGTCGATTTTATGCGAATCGTAAAACGCACACGCTCGGTAGCCTCCCTTCTTTGTATAACACACGCGGCCCCCGCGATACCCCGTTTGACACGCTGAATTCACGATGGAGGCGGCTGATGATGAGAACGAAGGGGAAACGTCTGACCGGCTTGAAAAACAGCTTCAAGAGGGCGACAGGATGATCATTTCGGAAGTGATTCGCGGAGACGCTCGTAAAACGAGAGTTGGATGGCTGCCTGTACTAGTTGCAGCTCGTGCCGGTATGCATGTGACGCGCACATCTTTTCATCGGAATGACAGAAAGAAAAGAGTTCTCGCGCGTTCTCGCGCGCGCTCCGGTTTATCGCATCCTTAGCGAGGGGTGCACTTTCGTCCGACGAAGATAGCCGGCCGCTATTCAGCGGAACAGACAGCGGGCGAGACCAAAAGATGTGAACTGGCAAGCGGAAAGCGTAAAAACTTCATTACCAGCGCGCCTGGGTGCATCATATCCCGATGACGGTGTCGTTATCTTCCTTTCCTTCCTTCGCCACGATTCACTTATCCGTAGATCGCGACGAGACTCGTCGTCAGGTTCGCGGGGCGCCAAGAGCAATGAGACGACTCGCGTTGTGTGGCTTGGTTTTAACTAAAATTTTATTAAAATTCCGCGTGGACGAGGGTTGGGATGATGGCGGGATGATCGGGGCGAGAATTTCGTTCGATGAAGAGCACAAAGAAAAGACGAATGTTGAGAAAGAAATCGGCCGATCCCGCGAAGAAGCGCGCTGGTGTCGCTTCACGCGCACGCATCACGCATTCCAATAGGTCTGATTCGCTCCTGCGCGCATGGCTGATAAGATGAGGCAGGTGAGATCGAGAAATCGGCGGTAACGATGTCGCGGGAAGGGTTGGACTGAATTTTTGCTTGCTTCCCACGAAGTTACCAGGTCTTTCCTTCACGCCAAGAGAGAAAGAGAGAGCCAATTACGGGGGTGGGGTTGTGGTGGTGTTGGTGTCTTCTTTGATTGCTTCTTTTTTTTTTTCCCGGGGCGGTGTCGTCGTGACTTGGTGGTAGTGGTAGGTTGTGAGATCACACTGTTTCTCCTAATCTAACCGTGGTATCCACCGGCCCAGCCACCGTTCCAGCCACCGGCCTTCCATCCGCCGTTCCATCCGCCGTTCCATCCATGACCAGCCACGAAGGTCTTGGTGACAACGGGGGCAGCGTGCACTACGGGAGCAGCGTGCACCACATGGGCCACCGGAGCGACTGCGACAGCATGGACCGGAGCGATGACCGCACCGTGGCTGACAGACGTGACGACGCCGGTGGGACCACCGGGAGCGGCGAAGGCGATAGCCAGGACGGCAGCGAAGACAGCCTAGGGAGAAGATTGTCGAGTGCGTTTAGATTATCGCGCGGACGATCACATGGCGAAGGTCGCAAGTTCGGTCTCTCCTGGTCTTTCCGTGCCAGAGATTGTCTCGGTGATCGCGTTTCGGTCGTGCGTCGGCAGTCTCTGTGCTGGTTCGATTAAGAAGTTCGCGGCAGGAGAAGGAAATGACCCGGGGTTAATTAAAATCGGGGGACAGCGATTCGCCGCGAGTCGACACAGAAAAAAAGTCTCATTATAGTTAACAAATGCGCTTGAGCGTTTCAGTGCGATATTTAGCACATATAATTAATATCCAATATAGTAATAGCTGTCTGGTAATAATTACAAAATGATCAGTGAAAGAAATCCTTCTCTCAGTTGAACTAATTAAATGGTTTGGTAAGTAATATCGAATAATTTGGTAATAATTACTAAATAGTGCGACTATTGCCAAAGTATTTCGTCGCATTTCGTATCACATAATATGCTAAGTATTACTAAACAATATTCAGAGCCGATTGTGCCAACTTCTTGGTAAGCCATCTAACAGTTAAATCATGTGTCTGTCTTCGTTTTTTCTTCGAATTAGACGAACATACGAATCGTATGTTCTTCAAACATACGATTTAACTGTTAGCTACGGCTTACCAAGAGGTTGGAATTTGATACGTACGACGTAAACAGCTAATAGTCACCAAGTCTTAGCAACACTAACTCTTGGCAACAGATACCACAACCTTGCTAAGGTTATTAGTTAATATTTACCAAATTATTTGACTACACTTACTTACATGTTCAGTTGAGACTACTTCGCCAAAGCGTATCTGATAACTATTACCTAGGATGGTTACTACCGAATCTTTTTTTCAGCGGAGCCGAGGAAAACGATAGCGAGAGGCACTCGGCTTATCCACAAGCGGTTCACGGCTCCTCAGAACCGGTTTCGCAGTCGTCGTCTCGATTGCGCCCGTGATCGCGAGTAAAAGACAAAGTGAGGTCAACTAGACGATAGTTGCGCTCACCACCCAAACGATTGCTCGTTTAAGACACTGAGCGACACGTGCGAGACCTGGCGAACCGGGATTGTGTCGCAAGAGATGGAAGGAATACGCGGGGATCGCGTAGAAAAAATACAACGAACGAGCTGCATTCCGTTTCAACGACAGTGGTGGTGCTGGTGTTTGGTGGTGATGGTGGTGGTGGTGGTAGCTGATTAACAATGTGCATGCTTCAGTGATTTTGTTCGCGCGTGGATTTTCGATGGGTGCTGTTTGCAGACCCGCGAGAGACCGATGCCGGTGAATGGCGCGCGCGAGCAGCAGCAAGGGCGGATTCGCGTCGTGTCGTGCATTCGCGCACACGTTCGTGCCGAGAGAAGCGAAAAGGTCACCCCGGCAAAAGGAAAAGCCGAGAGAGGAGAGAGAAGCCGGGGAGGAATCTTTTTTCCCGTCCGTGTGCAGCCGTGAGGAGGCGGCCGCCCGTCTCTTTATCGATCAAGCGCGAGGCGCGAGAAGGCACGAGAGAGAGAGAGAGAGGAGAACCTCTCCTCGCGAAGGAGTAAGTATTAGAGGCTCTGTTTACTCGGGATATGCATACAAGACGCGACGTTCCGAGTCAGAGAGCGAGGTCCCACGCCCGAAGGTGCGGGAGAAAAATCCGGAGAAGAGTTCGGAAATAAGAGCGGCGGAACGTGGCGCAAAACCGGAATCCGTCGATGATCGTGACACGGTTTCCTTCGGCGGATCACGACGGTCGTGCGACCGTCATGTGGGAGTCGTATACGTGGAAAACCGATCGGAGTGGAGGAACGCGTCGTGAGAGGCGCGTCTTTGCGAGATCAGTTGCGAGCGGAATCTGAAATTGCCGCTTGTTCGCGCCGTATTAGCTCCTTGGCGGAATCAACTCGGAAGCTCTATTAGGCGCCTATTGCGCGCTCTTACGGTCTTGTAATCGAGATTGGTCGACAGAGTCGCGACGGCCAGCAAACAAACGAAGACAATCAGCGGTCTGATTGATTAGTGATTGAGCGTCTTCGCGAGATCGGAGAGAGAATCGCGCCGAGAGTAAGAATATCGTTAGAGACTAGAATTAAAGGAATCGTTTCGGCTTACCAACTTGAACATGGTGATTGGTCGCTTGTTACTTCTCGGAAGTAAGTGAGCTTATGCTTGTTCGGCGAGCCGGGGCTCTTATATACTGCGTTGGATTTTAAAAAATCGCCATAAATTCAAGCACGCGATCCCCCGCCATATCGAGTATGACGATATGTGTCGGCTAGTTGAGTCAGCCGGTCTAATGGTAGGGGGAGTAGTTGTCGGGCCAATCGCCGTGCGCGATTCAACCGTCGCGCCGGTTGGCCAGTAATGCGCTTTCAACCCTTCGCATCGGTCTTGAGAATTGGGTTAAGACACACTCCGTACTCCGTGAGGTACCGGCACGATGGAGAATACCGATACGATGCCCGATCACACGCACATGCACGTGCGAATGTGGTGTTGCGCGCGCGGGGTGAGTGTATTGCATATGTCGCGTGATCGTATAGCGAAAAAAAAAGAGGATGAAGCGGAGAAAAAGCCGCGGCATAGGTGCTCGTCACTGGATGCAAACTCATTTCGCAAAGTCGCAGCCAAGGTCTACTCGCACTCGCGGCATCGACCTTCTTCATCTTTTCTCGGGCGTCGCCCGTGGAAACGGAGCCCGCGGAGAGAACATCTTTTATGAGCCGAAATTCCCGACCCGCCAAAGGGTTTCGTTCACGTCCAACCTGGCTGCACAACGTTCTTTCGTTTTTCACAGGGAACGAAGGATTTGTTTGCAAAGACTCCTCTCTTTTGGCGACGGCAACCGGCATAATTATGTTCGGTTCCAATTAAAGAATTGCGTGGGATTTAGTCGGGCAAGATTTCGTCGTCGTACACTTGGATACCAAAGCACAATTAATAAACGATATTTCCCTAAAGGTGGAATTTGTATTTTTTATATTTGACACTCTACTTTCTAAAGTACAACGAATGTGTTTTTTATTTACGCGTGCTATATTCGTGAGTAATAGTTCAGTTGTAAGCGTAGCACCGCAATCTGTAAAAACTCGTTGAAAGGATCGATTAATAGCAGCGACTGTTATTATTATGTGCAGTTTGCAAACACAGATAGTGTCGCTGCACGCAGATTCTATACTTGTGATCAGTGTTGCGCTTAGATCATTGTAAAATTTGCTAGATAAAAATAAGATGAAAATATGTAAATTCATTTGAGATAAAAGTTTTTTCAGATTTTTTTTAGATAAAATATGAAGTTATATGACGTTTAGATAACTTCCAGATAATATTATTTTAAAGTCATTTGTATAAAAAACAGTTGTGAAAAATGACTGCAATTAAAAAGGAATAAAAAAATATATTTGTACTTTTTACTGATAAATTTTTATTAGTGTAAACAATTTTTTACATGTACTACCCGATAATCGATTTTTGCGAGGAATATAAATTTGTTGTTATTTTTTATTCTGATTATATATTTCTAATTCAATCTCAATTTCAATGCAGTCTAATACAGACAGCACTAATGCAAATATCCATTATGCAAAGGCATATATTTAAATATATATAATGTATTTCAAATTATCTGGACGTCATTCTTGATAAAATTTTCTTGCTAAATTAATAACATTTTTTCCACTCAGGATGTAAACGACGATAGTGTATATTTTATTAGCTAGATGAAGATGGCGTAAAAATACTTCATCTGCATAATCATGTATATAATTTGATCTAGATAGAAGCAAACACTATTTATAATAGGTGATTTATTTATAAATATGACACTGTCATCTCGCTGAGATGGTGCGCTAATTGTAGCGACTGTTGCCGTTATTGATGCAGTTTGCAGACACAGCGTCATTGCATGCAAATTGCATGGAAGCCGTTAATCCCATGATCACGGAGGCAGAAGATTGATTTTCGTACAGTGTATAACGAGTTTGTGTGTTACAAATTTCGCGGAGAGATCTTACTTCCATTGATCGAAATAACGAGAAATAAGATAACGAGAAACAAATTAACGAGAAATAAGATGGAGCAGTAAGGTGGGGATTGTTTTCACCGAAAATCAACGAACACTCACTGATTATCGCGGTGAAATACTTTTTATACTGATCCACTTTATGGGAGTGCAATCCTTTCTACCCTCGCGAAATATTACTCTCGATACCAGCATAATGTCTGGTGACTCTCGAATTGCGTGCTCCGTGGGACGTGCCTCACGCCAATTGTCGCGAATCAACATGGGAATTATTCCGGCATGTTCATAGCGCGTTCATGAAAATTCGGGGCGGCAGCCCCGACGTCGCTTTCGACTGAGTTTCGGCAGCCACCGCCGCCGGTGCCGTCGTCGGCGCCCTCGCGGATGGAGTTATTTATTCCCTCGCGCTTCCGCTCCGAGCGTCAACTCGGGGTGGAAGTTGGACGCGACGATCGGGGCAATCGCGGAGATTAGAACGGTCGCGGCGTCGCGCGAGCGGCAGGGGCGCCCGGAATTAGGGAAGAGCAATCCAATCCTCGCGACGAGCCTGATCAAACTTTTATCAATGACAAGCGCGTTACTTTATATAATTCCCCGCCACGTTTGCTCCGCGCCGGCGGTTCCTAGGTAACACGACCGGTAATATCGCGACTTAGATTACGAGCGCAGTTGGAGAGGACGATGTATAAGGACGACGGTACAACAAGTGCGATCGTGGTGTCGCGTGTCGACCCGCTGGAAGTCACCGACGTGTCTTTCCGAAATGAGCTGGTGTACGCGTGGGCGTACGTGGGTGTAGGTGTACGATGCGGAAACACACCCGGACCGAGTTTGCCCCGGCTATAAGTGTCGGCTATTAATTCCCCAAATCAAGAGCAACGTCGAAACCACCCTCTTGAATCCTGCTGCGTCGCGACTGGCGATAGCGCAGTCAATCATCCGTAAGCAAGAAGATATTGCGTGTGTATGTGTGCGTGTCTATGTATGTATATTTGTGTGTGTTTATATGTATTTGCGTGCGTGCGTGCGTGTGTGTGTGTGTGCAGATGCAACGATGTTTCGCAATGTACAATACCCGCGCGTTTCTGTGCCGCAACGAAAATAAGATCCCACTGCATTTCCGACGTCGCAAAAGCCCGCTCTCTCTCTCTCTCTCTCTCTCTCTCTCTCTCTCTCTCTCTCTCTCTCTCTTTCTTTCTCTCCCTCTGTCTGTCTGTCTGCCTCTCTGCTTCTCTCGTCCGACTTATCGAAAGTTTCACGGAGCCGGTGAAAATAAACGTAGCTTTCGCGAGCGAAATATCCGTCCATCGCGAGATTCGTTGGACCGAATAAACGTGGGCTCGCGTAATTCAGGGCTCATGTCGTCGTTAGAACGCGGCGATAATGTATATCTGCGAGGCCGAGGTCGAGGGTGGCAGCGGGGATCCGTCGTGCGATGGATTTTCATCAGGTTGCGCGGCTCCCATCGTTTTCTCGTCCCGTCCGCGAGACGAGAGACCAAAGGGACAAGCGGAAGATATATCTTCGGCCTGGTCTCTCTCTCTCTCTCTCTCTCTCCCCTCACTGCATCGCCGGCCGCATCGCGACGCTGGGAAGATGCATTCGCGCGCGCACGTGGTAGGACAATTCCCCAAGTTCGCGGCGTTCCCTTTTCGTCGCCGAGCAATTCCGAGCTGGAAGATCGATCGTTCCCGAAGATCCTATAAAACTATTCCCGGAGCTCGCACGATGGGTCCCTCCGTTCCACGTCGACTAACGTGAAATTGATAGCGGGTCGTCGTTCGCCAAAACGTAGACGTGTCTCGCTAAGTTCCATCATTCCCCGGTCGGCTTCCTCCAATTTCGTTTGTCATTCGCGATCGCGGTGGTGATTTCGTACTTTTACGATTCTCCGCAAGTCGGCGTACGTTCCCCCGGCTTTCACGAACGTTCTCGCGACGTCCTGGCGAGGACGTGGCGGGGACGCGCGATATTTGCAGAGACTTTGCCCTTAGGGGCAAAAGTCGCTCTGGTTGAAATTTCGATCCTCCTTTCGACTTCAATATTCTATTTAACGTCTACTTTGATACTTTGAAGCTTATATCAGCCTCTTTGGATTCTACTTAATTTAATAATCGCACTATTTCAAACTTACGAGTGGCATTTCGTGCGTTTTCTGTCATTTAGAGCCTCTAAGTTGAACTTCAGTCTTCATATATATTAGTTAAACACATATTGATCCTTCAGAGTATACTGAGAGTTAGAGAGTTTTAAATCGAAGATAAGGTCAACTTTCTATTCGGGAAGTCGCTTGAGTCGAAACTTTGATCCTGCTTTCGACCTCAATAGTCCATTTAACGCCTACTTTAATACTCTGAAGTCTATATCAATCTCCTATTTAATCTTTGATACCCTGAAGCTTATATCAACCTCTTTTGATTCTATTTAACCTACTAACTTTGTGCCAGAGGTCCTTTTAGTTAGAACCTACATGGAATTTTGTGCGTTTTGCTGCTATTTAGAGCTGACTTTCCAATAATTGGATTTAATAATTGGATTAAATAATTGCATTTAAGTTTAAACTCTATTCAAACACATCAAATGTATTATTAGGATAGAGTTTAAACATAAATCCAAGTTTAAATTACTATTGAAAAATCGATCCTTAGAGATGTAGGGGTGTGTTCCGAATCGCGTATAAGAAACATAAATTTCATCAGCATTAAAATATTATTTCGTTTCAGTACTTTGTATATAAAACTCCATTAATGCTGAAATTTTCAGTCACACACACAGGCATATTATATTATAAATATTCACACATCAGGACAGGTATCATTGTCGATTCCTCGAATAATCAACAATACTGATATATACGAATGTTTATAATATAATGCGTCTGTAACCGAAAATTTCAAATGTCACAATGATAGGGAACGGGATAGCATTAATGGAGTTTTGTATATAATGTAATTATTACTAGGAAAATATCTCTTTAGTAAGTTACATTCTTAACGAATTATCACCATTATTGACATCTTCCTCGTCATCATATGTGGTAATAAACATAAAAAAACTACTTCAAATGTAGAAGTAGAAATTTTGTAACAATAAAAATTGATAGCACTTGCGGTTAAGTTAGGTTAGGTTACACCAAAGAAGAAATATGAAAGTTATATCGAACGTATCGTTTCCGATTACACAAAAAAGAAAATGAATTCATTTAAAATAAAATAAAACGACAACAAATAAATAAAAAGATCAGCTGTTGTGTAGTCATTTAACGTGATTAAATATAACATTTCGCAGAATGTTTCCATAAACGTTTGAAAGCGTTCTGTTGTTCATCGATTTTGGATTGAGTGCAACAAATAAAGCAAGTCACGTTTCGCGTAATTCCTCTTTTATTTTCATGCTCGCCAGTTTTATGTCGCATTAACTGCTTTGTCTACGGACTGGAGGCAGCTGATGCGCATAACACAAGTGCCATAAATACGGGAAATTTATCTACATTTCTCCCCCTTCTCTATATCTACAAGTGTATAGGCGCATTAACACGCTATCAATACGTGTAACGAGACAGAAGTCTGTCGCTTCATGCGATCTCCTAGGATTTCCATGTGTTCCACGAAGCACACACTGATTCCTTAGCGTAAGTACAAAACTCTACGTCAGAAAACTCTCAGATCGAAAGTAGGGCTGAACTGTCGACTCTGCCGATACAATAGCGCAGAGTTTAACGCGCTAACGGCGATAATCAAGTTGGAAGTGCCAAATTGTCCAACATCCTTCGCACACGCCCAATTCGAATATTGGATTCGACAAAGCACCCTCGACGTTCTCACGAGGAGCGAAGGTGCAGAATTGCGTGTACTTTCAAGATCGTTAATCGGCACAATTTCACGGAATTTAAGCGAAAGACCGCGAAGTATATCATCCGAGCGCGACATCCCCGCCGATCGAACGAGTGCATTCTCGCGACGTTTGCGCGAGCAAATGGTAACACGGCCGTTAATGAAGCAGAACCGTTCTCATTTGATTTCCTCCGATTTTTCACACGTGTGCGCGCGTACAAGCTTGCGTGTCGCTTGTGGGAAGGATCATTTCGCGCGTGTATGCGTGATTTTCTCGCTGGTTAGGGCCCCACGCGAGAAGTTACGCGCTATTGACGTTCAATGAAGTGTCCTCGCACGATGACGATGACGATGTAAACGCCAATAACGCGGTCTGTAAATATCCACGATATACCGCGCTCCCGCATGGATATCGCATTTGTATATATCTACATGACAATTTTCGATTGTAGGTCTGATTGTGTGCTCGTGTCCATGAGCGGTACTTTATAATCGTATGGAAACGCGTTGATAATGTGTACGTTGCAGCGCAACGTATAATTATTGTCGGCGTGCGCGATTGCATTGCTGATGAGGAGTAAATATGTCACGGTGGTAGCCACCGTTGAGCGTGTATCTGTCGCAAGAAAGCGTTTGGATTACGTCAGACGCGATAAAAACAGATTCGGTTGATTTCCTGCGACCCTTAATACGCATTGAGTCATGAGAAAACACAGAAACACGTGTGAAATTCATCAACGCGGTTTGTTCACTGCTCCAATGAATTGCGCGTTTCCCGCTCAGTTTATCCCCTTCCCCTCTTCCCCCTTAATAAAACAGGCTCGCATGTTCAAAAAACGCCACTATAAAATAATTGATTCGTTCCCGCAGTATTGAGGGAAGGAGATAGCCGGAGGGTGTCGTCAGGAGTCAGCAGATTTGAGGCAACCTTCCTGAGTCCCCTGCCTCTCCTTCCTCCGGTAATATCCGATAGTTTAGAAATCAGAGATTGGCATAAACGGCATCGCGCTCTCGAATTAGCATACATGTGGTAGAAAAGACGAAAAAAAGAAACGCGATAGAAGGAGCCACTCCAGTGCCACACTCTCTCGACTTGTGTGCGTTTGCGTGTGCATACGCGCACACGTCTGTGTTAAACGCTTTCCTGCATGGCAATAGAAAAGGCGGAGAGTACGTACCTGTCCAGAGAAACCGCGACCAGGCTGTAGACGGAGGCCGCCACGGAGACGCCCTGTATATAAGCGACCGCTTTGCACATGAACCATCCCAGGAACCAGGCTGAAACACACACGAGCAGTTCGTAATTTATCGTTTCGAGTGTCGTTCGAGCGTCGGGCGAAACTTTGGAAGGCCGGGAATAGCGCGAGCTGCGGCCGAAGGGCTTTTTAGCGTTTAAGGCAACTAGCTGAGTAGCCGACTTACGAGGAGCGAACTTGCTGTTTGCCTTTGTTTGATCTAACAGCCTGGAAGAGCGTCACGTAGATACGCGAGGGCGTAACACGACGTGGACGCCCGTCTCGCGATCCAAAAGCGAGAACCTCAGATATCTTATCATAAGACTCGGGAATTCGCTCGAGACTGGTCGGTTATCTCCGACGTTAACGCGACGCATCTGTTAGTCAGGTAAAAACCCGCGCGGAGAAAGACAAATCGATTGCATTAATCTGTATTCAGGGTGCATTAGCCAGACTGTTTGTTGAGAAATGGATTAACCGTAATTTTTCTCGAGATAACCAGACAAATTTGGTTACATGCGTTCTGGTTAAAGTAACCAAACAAGTTTGGTTACGACAATAAAATTACATATTTACATTTCTCACTAGAAACTTTATCAGTTTTATTACTGTTGAATGTTATTCCTTCTTAACGAAAAGTAAGCTCTTAACCCTCTATTGTCCACTGTGATTCAAGTTACAATTTAGTTTCATCATTATTTATCTCCAATATGAATGTTGTTCTCGTCTTGACCGACGTGACGTGAAAGTCACAATATAGCTGCTTTTTTAGTATGTTGGCAGCGATAGTAAGTTTATATATACTACTAGATATTGGGAAAATACAAATTAGAAAAGTAAAGTTTCACTTTATACGTGTTGAGTACTTTAGCATTCTATGTACACGACCAATTTTTCAAACAAGAGAAATTAATTCGGGTAGTAGACGGGTAAGTAAAGGGTGGTTAGTGTATAATTGTTTTGTTCGAAATTAGTCATTTAATTGGTTCGATGTTATTTGTATTTGAAGAATTCGCCTTTCTGAGAAAATCTGTTCGTCTTTAACAAAACTTGCTAAACCAAACGCACCGCGTTAATTCAACCGGATTGTTCTTTTCCGCGCGTTGTTCCGACAACAGAATTTTCGTTCGCAATTTTTTAATTACATACAAATTAATTAAAACAGTCGCATCGCTCGTGTTCCTTTGTATCGCATCCGTCGCGCCGCATCTGTTTATTAGGTGAATCTCAATCTGGAGTTTTTGTTTTGAAAATTTTTTTAATTGCGCAAATTAATTAACGAATTCGCGTCGGCTAAATTCGTATTGCCAAGGGAAAGATTACGTTTTTTTGCCTCTGAGAGGCGCGAGTGTGTTGTATTCCAATGAAATAATAGCTGGTTGCGGTAGCTAATATCACACTAAGGGCATTAAGACATAGATTCGCTCTGTTGCCGTGCAGACTTCGTTATTTTCTACCTCTCGAAACGATCGCAGATGATCTAGCTGAGGATTCACCTTAAGCGACATTGTCGATACCGCTCACTAATTAAATTGTGAACGATGCGTAACGTATCGTTCACCTTAAAAAAAGAAACAAGAAGCAGGCTATCGAACTTACAATGAATTTAAAACCCGCTATCTGTGTAGTACAAATTCTCATGACTTCTATCCTGCGGCAGGAAACGATACGAACGCGCGATTTCAGTTTCTGTTATTAATAGCCTCTCTAATACGCGCGGCTGTTGCACCCATTTTTCAAAGAGAAGAGAAAGTAATTAATTCCCACGAGAGCTCGAGAAACAGGAGCAGAAGCTCCGAAGGAAGAGGAGGAGGAGGAGGAAGAAGAGAGCTCGGGACAAAGGGGATTTTCATCTAGGACCATCGATCATCGTCCGCCGATTGATGGCGAGGTAAATAATTATTTCACATAATACAATATCGCGAGTAAGGCATTTGGTAGTATAATACGGCCGACGGGGCGAAAGCTCGCCGCTTTCTCAGAATAATGGGGCTATACATCGGCGAGGGTTGCAGCGGGGTTCGGCGGGGTGGCGGGGCCGGGGCCGAGAGGGTGCAGGAGGGCCCATCAAAGGAAAGGTCGCTCGTAAATATCGAGCGACGCCTACTGTGTAACGTCGCCGAGCGAAAACTGCGCGTATACGGCAGTTTTCGATTTCCGCGACTGACCTCACTTCATACTTTTCGCCGGCCAGGGCGGCGGGGACGGCGGGGGAGGTCCAACGGGGGCATTTTCGCGAGAAGATACTGCGCCATCGGCGTCTCCGGGCGGGGAAAGGGTCGCGCCGTAAATTTCCCAGCTGGCTATGGAACGGAGCGGAATGGAGCGGCATGGCACGGCACGGGACGACGGTTTGCACGACCCTCGCCGACGCGCGGTAATGAACAACGTGCACTGCCTCGGGAGCGCAAGGTGCAGCGAGGTAAATACTGCTTGGGTGGGTGTTCCCCGTGTGTGTCGAAAGCCGCTTGTTTGTCGGGCCGCTCGCGCGATCGCCGTCCCGCTTTCTTCCACCGACGAGCGACGACGAACCCGCCCGCGTCTCGAGCGAATTCCGCCAAGGACTTAAAGCGACGACGGATCGAGAATTTGAGCAAACAACGGGCAGATTTTCACTCGAGACCTGAGGGATTTTTACTCGCGCGCGTGACGGGATTCAGTCGAATGGAATTTCATTCTTTTGGCCGACGGAACTTTTAATCGGGTTTCCGACCCCGAGGAAACTGCGTTAGAGTAGCGAAAACGAGAGAGCGGTCCTACGACGAGGGTGAGGTGTCCTGAAGACACGTGGATCGCGCGTGGACTCTTTGCATCTTCCGCTTGGGATGAAAAGTCGTGCTCTTGAGTGAGAAGGAACGTCGATTCGTGCAAGTGTTTCCGTTGGAGGACAACCGGATCATTCGCGCGAGTGGTGTTGCTCTCGTCGGCGCTCCGAGGTTTCCCCGAGTGTGGAAAGGTTCATGATGATTTTTTTCTCTCGGCACGATATAATTTCGTTGAACAATGTCGACGACTACGGCGAGTACACGATCTACCGCGCCGCGATATACTAGCCGACACCAAGAGGCATTAGTGCGCGTGAGTGAATGGCGCGTACGCACCGAGGTCGTGTAGAAAGGAACCGCCTGGTCCTAGATCGTGAACAACGTTAAGCGAATAATTACTAACCGTTTAAGCGCCGGGAGGGGTCGCAAGAATATACGACAAAAGTGTCTCACGAGGCAACGGTCCCGATGTTAATGCACCCGGCGAATAAATTAAGCCGGCCGTATCACGGCGACTATTCTCGAGCACCGAGTTACACAATTGCGTAGGAAATACGTCAAAGTGCGAGACGGGAGAAGGGAGCGCGATGGCGCTCGAAATCTCACTCTGGAAACCCTCCGAGTCGCGTGACGGAAGGATCCTCCGCAAGACTTCGCGTCTCACATGTGCGAATATTCCCGGATGCTTTCTGAATGGAATGCATCTTACTTGACTGGCATGCGAGCGGTTAATCCCGAGTACATAACTTCTCCGACCCGATAAGACGTCAAGCCGAGTCTGACCATAGAGCGCGCATTTCGACGTATCTACTTACGGATTGCAACTCGCGCGTGTTGCGAGAGAGGCGTGGGAGATGTGTGCGTTCGCGCTATCGTTTGCATTTCTTATTGGATCTTGAATATGTCTTGCGAATCTTTTACTTTCTGCACACGTAAACCTGAACATTTGTATTGTTTTGGTCTTGAATAGAGAAAATTATACCATCAGCTTCAAAGTGACAATTATTTACGGTAAAATTACGGTAAGATAGCAATTGATAATTTTGGTAAAATTTGTTGTTTTTGACAATTTTGTGCACGAATACGCTATATTCACATTGTCCGCATTAATGCATAAGATAAGACAACATTCTTATATTCTTATCAAATGTATATCTGATAATCTCTGTTATATGTTTTTCAGATGAGAGAAAGGAAATTATTTGTAATCTCTTAGGAGTATTAAAGTGTTCCCATTTCTTAAAATAGAAATTTTCAATAGTATACCACAGTCTAGTCGTTGATACAACAAGGTAATAAATGAAATTGCTGTAAGTATGTAAGGCGTGATAGTATCAAAATATATCAAAACTGAACTACACTTGTTATACATTTTGTTTTGAAAATTCTAATTTGAAAATTCTAAAAAACTTTTTTTAAGTTTTTCTAATTACTGTGTGTACCTTTAGTTTTTTTTATTATCGTCTACTAAATATTAACATACAGTATCAAACTATTTTATGGAAAATATGAGTTAAACAAACCTTTTTACTCATCTTAAAAGCTAAACTTTTCTCATCTTAAAAGCTCCTTTTGAGCTCTATATAAAGTTCCTTTTATTTTATTTCTTTTCAAAATTTTTCTTTTCCAAATTATCATTTTACCAGCTTTCCAAAATTACCGGATAATTTAGCGTAATTTGCTAAGTAAGTTACCAGCAGAATGAGTCATTTTTATTTCTAGTCTTGAAATACAATTATTTAATTATTCTGTCACTGAAGAGAGTCCAAAAAGAGGACCGAAACGTATGAATTTTTATAACACGAAATTGTATGTCATATTGATATTCATTACATTAATTTCGTCTAAATAATCGGCGTTGGCTCTATTTACCTCATCATTTATTCCTTTAGATTTTACAATTATTTAAGTTTTCAACATAAAAAATGTATATGTATAAGTAAATAATTAATAATTATTGGCTAATATAATAATAATAGACAAATAATTAATTAATAACTGTTTATACGTACATTGAAAATATGTATATTTATATAGAATGTATACATATATTATGAATATTATGAATATATATATATATATATATATATATATATATATATATATATATATATACGTAATTATTAATCGTTATACATATATTGGATATACACATAAATTTTATGTTGAAAGTTTAAATATCCGCGTTAAAAGACCAAAACAATAAGAATGCCCGGGATTAGAAATTCGGGAACCGTTACATCTATCTTATAATTTGATTATTATTGAAGATGATAAA